TTTTTTTAGCCCATTTGTGAAAATTTGTACTTGTTTCTGATTTCCAGAATTTTCCTTGCCTTCAAAAAGGTCCTCCAGAAGTGGGTGCACATGTTGACGTTCTTTGTAACAATGGTACTGAAACATGTAGTGGAACATTTCTGGGAACGGATATCAGAATTATGTTTACAGTAAGGTTCTTTGCATATTTCTGTGATTAAATGGAACATATTTGTATATAGAGAGAGAGTAAATAAAACCTTTTTATTTACAGGTTCATTTTTCAGATGGTTCTCAATTAGTTCTGCAAAAAAGTGAAATTTATGAAAACGATTCTCCAGAAGTGCAAACGCCTATTCAAGTGGTGAGTGACTCTCCATCATTTGGTTAAAAATTGCGTGAAATGTAAATTTCAGAAACTGAAACAACTTATTGTCTCACTTTTAATAAATATTTAGGGCTTTCTCAATTGAGTTAAGTACAAAAACTAAACAATTTGTATTTCTTAGTAGAATATGCTTTTATGAAATATTTTCAGACATTGGTTTACAACTAGATTGGCAGTATTACATACCTAGTAGCTTCATTGATTAAAAATTAACAAGAACTTTCTGAGCCCTCGGCCTTTAGAGGCCACACTAAAATAATTTGACTAATCGTGGCCCTCAGCTTCTGGAAATCCAGACGCATCCAATGAGATCATTGTTGTCAGGGGTGCTGGAAATTTGTATTGTCTAAGTAAATTGCTTGCTATCTGAGAATTATCATCACCAAACATGATTTGTTTTCTTCTGCTCTGGCTGATGAGATTCTTGGATCTTCAGGATCCAGGGTAATAGCAAAATTTATTGTAATAAAAAACACAAAACATGTTCCTATGTATCCATTAATTTTTTCAAAATGAGTGAGAAAAATTTAAATTTGTCCTTAAGAGCTTTTTCTAATTTTCAAGCTCAAAATGTTGTTAATCAGACCTTCAAATGAATTGAGGTCCTCTGAAAACCATTCTACCTCTTCAGAAGCAATTGGACACCAGTTTTCACCAAAATATATTTATTTATTTACTTCTATAAACTGGATGAACCCTTACCCTTAAGAAAAAATACATACACAATGGCAGAATTATATAACTTCATGACATTTAAAGGTTTAAAATGCATGCATAGAATTATGTTGTTTACGAGAAACATGTGAACTTTCTTATGTTCTGAAGTGTAGGTTGGCACCGGATTTCAAGTTCCAGCGCAAGGAACAACGCTACCATCGGCGATATAATATGCACTACACTTTCGGGAATAATTAAGCAGCAATTGGCATGGGCAGAAACTATAAATACCAGCTAATTCCAACTATGTAATTGAATGGAGTTAGTTTTTTTTAGGAACATGTGCTACATATTGATTTCACCCCCTTCCAAAAACGTATTCCTGTTAAGTGCAAGAGGGCAGAGTTTTGCATACATGTAACAAATTTTGCATCCCTGATATGTTGTACATTTTTCAACATGATGAAGGCAACTTAGACATTGCCCTGAAAGGAATGTCCGTAAGATTTCGTTTGATGCACTGGATAGATCGTGGTTGTAATTACTTCTGCTTCACAAATATCTGTACTTGATTCTGAGTACACAATTTCTGAGAAATGCGTGTGTTCGTTTTTACAATTCAAGACGATGGTGTGGAGGTCATACAAGTATTATTTTGCTTTGTTTCACAGAATGACAATTCCCAGAACATTTATTTGTAAACTTGTATCCGTAATATTCTGTTTCAACATATAAATAAATGTAATGACCTACATAAGAAATATGCATTAATAGGTGAAATATGTTAAAATATTTAACAACATGATCACTTTGTGGAAAACTAGAAAACACTGAGAATTTCAATTCCAGAAAAAAATATTGGGAAAAAAATTCTGACATTCAAAAACTTAATTGTCAATAGAGAATTCAAGCTAACAATTATATCCAATTGACGGAATTAATTATTTCTGATAAAATAATTTTTAAGACTTTTTATTAATAATCATTGATTAATTATCATTATTAAGAATCATTGTTTAATAACTATTTTAAGTTAATTACGTCATTTTAAGTCATAAACTAACAAATTACACAATACTCTATAAAACATTGTCTAATGTATTTAAAAATTAATGCGTAGTATAAATTGTAACGCCCTCTAAACATTATGTGTGTGAGAGGAAAAGACATACAGCCAATGATTTTAAATTTGCTTTATTGTGTTCGTGAAATTTGTGCCCATGTTGTTTATTATAGGGTCTACACATGCACACATTAGGGCTACAACTGGCATTCGATAATATAAACGTGAACCAAAGGTGGAGAAAAAATGCAATCGTATTCGATTGAGACATGCTTTGTTCGTGGGGCCAGATCTAAGTAGAAAAACCCTATTGAAGAAGGAAAGCGATGAAAAACGGAATTAGAGAAACGGTGTCGGTATGAGAGAGAGAGCAGAAGAGGAGAAAGGCTGCAGAATTGATAGCACTGAATAAGGAAACTAGTGGTGCAACAGAATGGCACAGATTTTCTCGTACTTGTTAGATTTCTTAATTTCTTTGTTCTAGACTAGCCACATTCTCTAGCCAGCTGTCATTTATAGCTGCGCAAAGTACATTTTTTTGTAATTTTCTCAATTTTTCTGTTTCATAATACAACTGAGATATTACTTTAAGAATATTATAGAAGACTAAAAGTTTGTCATGTATGGAAATTTTCAATGACAAATTTGGAGCTGTTTATGAAAAAATTGCATTTAGGCATTACTGTAAATGTGAAATTTCTAACTCCCTTTCATAATTCAAATCTTGAATTTTTGAAAAACTTTATTGGAAGTCATTTAAAGCACTTCCACACTACAATGCAATAATGTATACTAATAGCTGGAAATGTGCAGATTATAGCATTAGAGATATTTCCAAATCATTGTGTTTGTGTGATTTTTGTAAAAACAAGAATTCAGCAAAATGAATTTTATATCATATTAAATACTGCAATTCGCAGTTCCCGAACAAAAAGTTTGAAGAAACAAATTTGGAGCCATGTTTGAGAAAATGGCGCTTGAGCATTCTGCAAATATTGAATTTTGAGCTCATTTTCACAGAAAAGTTTTGAGTTTTTGAGACATCACTCTCATGTACTTGTAAATGCAATAATGTGAAGAAATTGCTGTTATTCTAAATATTAACAATGTGAGAGGCTAGTCATAAAAACTAAATTTTTGTAAATTTTCAAAAAAAGAAGAAAATGACGTTTATTTCATCTCATAGAATACATTTAACACTATCCCTATCAAAAGTTTAAAGAAAAAAATTAGGTATTATTATTATTATTATTATTTTTTTTTTTCTTCACCACAACACACAGAAAAAAAAAAAAAATACACACCAACAACACACACCACAACACAGAAATATAATATTCTATGTTACACCCTTAATTTCTATCCACCAAGGGGCATCCACACACGATCCTTACTTCTATGAATGCACAAACCGTCACTTTTCTCGTTTTTATACACTGAGCGAGAAATTTAAGTTTTTATGACTAGCCCCTGCTTTTACATGTAATAAATATTCATTAGACTTGAATATTATACTAGCAATTTACCTCCCTATTCACATATCTCTGCTATCAGAATTATTTACTATAGCAGTATGTCCTAATCAACACACAATCTTCAACAACTTCGTTTGATACAATGCTGACGCTCTATATTATTTTTCAAATCTTGCCTTATACTCATGCTCAAGCGACTCATTTTCTCAAACAATTTGCTCATAACTTATTCCCACACCACCTTGTTCGGTAACACGCAATCATCTTAACTATTAATTATATATTAAAATTCTATTCTGCCCCATTTTCTACATTCTCTTTTTACAAAACATCACACAAACAAACACATGATTTTGAAATACTATCTCCTAATTCTTATAATTCTCATCATTCAGCTATTAGTATTACATATAACATTGTAGGTGTGGATGGCTTTTAAATGCACCTTCATTAATAAGCTTTATCATCAAATAATTCAAAATTCATTTTGAACACAAAGGCAGTTTAAAACTTCCACACCCTATCGTAGGTTATATGCGTCTTATATATATCTATATTTTCATAAAATCTAGCTCCAAATTTTTCATGAAAATTCACAACATTCACACCACAACTCTAGTCTTCTATAATTATTCTTAAAAGTAACTTAAAATCTAGCTTTGTACGCAATATAACAGCAAATATTAATCTGAGAAAATACAAAACAAAATGTACTGTATGCGCAGCTATAAATATGTAGCAGCGGGCCCTAACGGAAGCACTGGCTTAAGTCCATAGAAAACAAAGAAAATTAAAAAGTCCTAACAAACTACGAGAAAACAATCGTTGTGCCTATTCTGTGTTGCCACCACTAGGGTCCCTTATTCAACAGCTACTTTCAATCTCAGCCTCTTTCTCCTCCTTTGCTCTCTCTCTCATACCGTACACCGTTTTTCTCTAATCTTCCGATTTTTCCAAGCGCCTTTACCTTCTTCAATAGGGTTATCTCTACTTAGATCTGCCCCCAAACGAACAAGCAAGTCTCAATCGAATACATGCATTTTTTCCCTCCACCTTGTTCACTCTACTTATATTAGTCGCCGACATGCCAGTCTTGTTACCCTAATGTGTTGCGCATGTGTAGACCCCTATAATACAACCAACATGGCACAGAATTCTCGTACGAACACAATAACAGCAAATTAATAATCATTGCGTGTCATGTCTCTTCCTCTCACACACATAATGTCATGCAGAGCGCAGCGTTACCCAATTTATCTGACTACGCTATCTAATTTTAAAATACATTTAGACAATTTTCTAAGCTAGTACATGTGTATTCTTTAGTTATCCTACTTAAACATACCTAATTAACTTAAAATAGCTATTATATTAAACCATATGATTCTTAATCCATGAAAAACCAAGATTCATATATATAAAAAGTTCCTTAAAAATTATCTTTATCAGAAATATAGAATTATGATTCCCGATCAAGATTGTATATAATTTCTAGCTGAATTCTCCTATTGACATATAAGTTTTGGTAATGCTCAGCAATTTTCTTCCAAATACCTTTCTTTCTGAATTAGAAATCTCTAGTCTTTCTCCACTGTTCCACAACTATATCATGTTGTTAATATATTTTAAGCATATTTCCACCTTTATTTAATGCATTATTCTTTATGGTAGTCATCTACATTTATTATGTGAAACAGAACTATTACGTGATTATCAAGTTTACAAATAAATGTTCTGGGAAATTGCATTCTGTAAACAAAGCAAAATAAATACTTGTTATAACCTCCACACCATCGTCTTTGAATTGT